AAAGCTAGGGAAAGGTTCTAGTTTAGCCCGGAAAAACTAGGGAGTTTGTAAGGTTACTCTTTATCCTCAAAAGAAAGAACAAATTAGTGAATTTTTTGGAAAATCCTTGGTGAGGAGCTAAGGTAGTGGACGTAGACTTTGATTGAGAAAGTCAAACCACTATAAATCGTTGTCCAATTCTCTATCTTTCAATCTCCTTACTCCCTAAACACAAAACCGTTCCGACCCCTCTTTGCAAAACGTTCTGGTTGTCATTTCGAGCTTCCGAAAATCCTAACAATCTAGCTGTTCCAGATATAAATTCAATGTAGCACACATTGCCAAGACTACTCGAACTGTTGTTAGTCAAACCACAGGAGAAAAAAATTTCATTGAAATCAATACCTTCTTTCTGAGCATATCCTTTGACCACCAGTCTTGCACGATACCTATCCACTTGATCGTCACCATTTCGCTTGATTTTGAAAACCCATTTGTTACCAATTGGCTTCCTTCCTTGTGGTAGTGGCACAAGGTCTCATGTATTATTTTTATAAAGGGCTTCGATTTCTTCTTGCATCTCCATCGTCCACAGTGAAGTATCTGAGCTGTTTATTGCCTCCTGATATGTTGATGGCTCACCGTCCTCTGTTAAAAGACAGTATGCAACATTTCCTTCTATAACATAATCTGAGTGCCAATTGGGACGTCTCTCACACGATCTGATTGACGAGTTGTTGGAGCTTCAGAACTCTCTGGTTCTTGTTCATCATGTGCTGGTTCTGCTTCAGAAGAATCTCCTTGTTCAAACTCCTTTTCTACATGTATCTGTGTAGTCTCTGACTTTTCAGCGTTGTCATTGTCTTCTTTTTTTGTAGCTTATCTTCTACAAAGATAACATCCCTGCTAATGATCACTTTGCGGGCAGTGGGATCCCACAAGCGATACCCCTTTACTCCATCAGCATACCCCAAGAATTTGCATTTTCTGGATTTTGGATCCAGCTTTGAAATTTCTTGGGCGTTGTACATCACGTACACAATACTTCCAAATACATGGAGGTTTGAATAATCAACTGGTTTACCAGTCCACATCTCCATTGGTGTCTTCAGCTCTATTGCAGTTGATGGAGCTCGATTCACCAAATAACAGGCGGTATTGACTGCTTCTGCCCAGAATGATTTTTCTAGGCCTGCGTCCCTCAACATTGCTCTTGTTCTTTCTAAAAAGGTTATGTTCATCCGCTCTGCCACTCCATTTTGTTGAGGAGTGTTCGCCACTGTGAACTGTCTTTTGATGCCTTCTTTCCTGCAAAAAGTCATCAAATTCTTCGCTTGTATATTCTCCTCCATTATCTGTTTTGAAACACTTGATCTTATTTCCAGAATCAAGTTCCACCCGCGCTTTGAAGTTTTTGAAAGTTGAAAACAAGTCTGACTTCTTCTTAATAGGGTGCACCCAACATCTCCTGGAGTAGTCATCAATAAATGAGACAAAGTATTTTGCTCCACCTAGGGACGTTACTGGTGCTTGCCATACGTCAGAGTGAACCAATTCTAGAACACTTTTGCCTCTAGAATTTGATGTGTTGAATTTCAACCGGTGCTGCTTACTTGTTATGCAATGCTCACACAAAGGAAGTGATACCTTTGTTAAGCCTGGAAGTAGCTTTTGCTCCACAAGGACTTTCATTCCTTGTTCTGACATGTGTCCAATTTTCTTATGCCATAGCATTGCAGAATCTGAACTACATGAGGCAACAGAGGCTTCTGCTTCTAGCAATGTCTCTCCCTTCAGCATGTACAAGTTTGCAGCTATCTTTTCACCTTTCAGCACCACAAGCGCTCCATGGAACACCTTCATGATTCCTTTCCGTGTTTCAATCTTGCTAGCATTATTATCCAACAATCCGTAGGATAATAAATTTTTCTTCAGACCTTTCACGTGCCGCACATCTCGAACAACTTTAATTGTTCCATCATACATCTTCAATTTGATGGTTCCCACACCAACGATCTCTAAGGCATGATCATTACAACTATACACAGATCCTCCTGAGACAGGTTCATAATGATGAAATCATTCTCTTCTTGAGGTCATGTGATATGTCGCTCCCGAATCAATAAGCCATATATTTGCAAATCTTTTTCTGCCTTCCACGGTGGTTGACGCTTCACATCATAGAGCATCTCCATCATCTGAAGTGTTTGCGGTATTGCCTTGTGGATTGGAGTTTTTATTTAGACTCCAACAATCCTTCTTCAAGTGACCCTTCTTTCCACAGTGGTAGCACTTTAAATTCTTCTTGCTCCTCAACTTCGATCTACCATGTTTATGACTGCTGCTTTGGCCGTTCTGTTGATCTCCCTCTCATCGTTGTCAACGCTTCTGCATGTTGCAGATTTACTTGTCTGTCTTCCTTGTTCTTGCGCCGATTTTCTTCTTGTAGAACAGCAGCTGCAACGTCATCGAAGACTAGACTGGTGGCATTACTGTTTGTCAAGTTGATGATGAGTTGATCATACGAATCTGGTAGACTTTGAAGTAGAAGTTCAGCACGTTTTTATTTCTCCTATTTTACAGCTTAAGGATGTAAACTGAGAAAATAAGGTGTTCAGTGTATTTAAGTGCTCCGTCACTGAAGTAGATTCTGGCATACGGAGAGTGTATTTAAGTGCAGCGATGTGGCCTCGTACAATTTGATGAGATGATCCCATATCTCCTTAGTTGTCTTCTTCTCCTCGATGCTTGACAATACTTCATCTGCTAATGCTAGATGAAAGTTTGCCATAGCATTCCCGTCCATCTCGTTCCATTTGATGTCATCTGCAAAATCCACTGGCCTTTCATTGATAGCCGCTAGACACCCGTCTTTCCTTAGGATGACCTTCATCTTCAATTTCCACATTGAGAAATTTCTCCCATTGAACTTTTCAATATCAAATTTCGTTGCCATTGCTTCGTTTACGGATAGCTCCCACTATTTGACTATCGTGAATAGTTCTCTGGAACCTTCAAAGAATGGGCAATAACTTCTTACTTTCTTATGTTGGAGGATCCACCTTTTGGTGGCAACCACAAAGACAATAAGCAGATATTACACACTCTAATCTAGCTCTGATACCAATTGTTGCGGAAGACGACTATCGGATAGAGCAAAATCGCAACTGATAATTTGAGAAAATAAAAATGAAGATAAAAGAGAAACAAAATTTACGTGGAAAACCCCTAAAAAATTTAGGGTAAAAACCACGGGCAACGGTAGAAGAATTTCACTATGAGAAAATAAGAATTACAACCTCTCTCGATCTACCAATGAGAAAACAATGATAATTCTCTCTTTGATAAAAAAGGAGAAAACAACTCTCAAGAAACTCTCTCTAGTATTGGAAGAAAGCTAGAATGCTTTGGGATGGTTTTGAAGCTAAATGAGCTAGGGTATTTATAGTTGAAGCTTAAGGACTAATTTGTAAATACCCTAAATTATAATGACTAAAATTGAGATTTTACCATTGTTGATTTTCAACAAATAGCCAGCCCTTTTTGAAAAAATTGGTGGCTGCCACCGAAAGTGGCTTGGCCACTTGTTTATTTTTCAACAGCTCTCTTCGTTGGAACAAAAATATTTGGAAGCACTAGTGTCCACTATCCATTTAACATTATTCTCCACCATATTCACCTTGGGCACCACAATAACAATAACCACATCTATATTCTGGATTATGTGTGCTTGTGGTTTATGCTAATTCTAACGATATGAGTGTTGATAGAATTGGAATGTCTTATATCCATTTTTTTCCACATACACAACAATTAATCGATCTGACAAGTTTTTCTTGTGGTTTGTTCTTCCATGGTTTCTCGAAGTTTACCATATTCTTATTTTGGGACTTAACTTTCTTCTTCAACCCCACCAATGTTGAACTTGTTCGCCATTGAAACCAAATTAGATTCTACAAGGTTAGCCTTTAAAGAGAATTGATTGGAAGTATCATATAGAGGTTGTTATCCATGTGGCTTAACAAATGACTTTTCATCACCTTATTATCTCCGTCAAACTTCACTTTGACGGTGGCAACGGTAGTGGGGTCGACAGAAGGATTTGTGACTTCTTCAATGACCGATGGATTGAAAAGAACAACATCAATAATTAGTGTCATCAAATAAATTAAGCTTGGAGAGATCGGGATGAAATTGTTCTTGACGATCGATATTTCAACAATAGAAATAGTTTTGTTTCTATATTGTTGAAAAATAATACAACTACAAAACAGATCGTTAGTACTGGTTGAATAAATAAATTAAGCTAAAAAAATAAATTCACAAGTTAATTGCGTCACGGAAGAATCATTGCCTTAGAAATAAATATATCTTGATTGATGTAATCGTTGAATTGGACGTCATCCTCGGAGATTAACACAATTCTTCAAAAATCATACGCCCAAAATTTGATCCGGAAGACGATTGAAATTACTCTTCTCAAGAAATAAGAATTTAGCTTGAAAAATATTTTCCCCCTATTAAAATCCAATAACGGAAAAAAATTCTAAAAATTAAAGAAAATTTCTGTATAAAAAAAATATAGGAGATAAGAGAGAATTATTTTATAATCACAGACAATCAATTAATCTAATATGACAAAATGTTTGATATTAAAGATTGATTATCGATGTTTATTAAATTAAAATGTAAATATCATCTCTACCTCGTTTCAAATGAGATTGATTTGGCGATATAAATTTTCAGATGTTCATGTACCGACATAAAAGAAAAATTAACAAAATGAGTAGATTCGGCCTTAAGTCCCAAATTAGGCCTAAATTTACGATAGTTAGTTAGTTGTAGAAGAAAACGGTAATGAATTGCATTTTTTATATTAAAATTTGATTTGGAATTTTATTCAGTTTTACTACTTCCAATTATGATTTAAAACCTAATGATTGAATACTGTATTAAATGTTTTTGCATTGGTTGATCAATCATCATAATCTACTCTTGGATTTCAATTTCATCGTAACGACTCTTCTCTTCTTTCTCTCATCCAATTCTAAAAGGTTAGTCTTTTACGTTGTTTCTTCAAAACATTACATGTTTCTGTAATCAGGAATAGATCGAGGAGAGTGGACGTGTGCGGTCATCCCTCAGAAAATTTGAAATTCTCATATACTTTAAGTTTGTATATTCTACTGATAATCTGTTTTCACACTTATAAGTTCGTTCTCCGGAATAAAATCTTATTTCCGTGTTACAGGTTTTTCTAGATCAATACAAATTTTGGACATAATGAGTAATTTTGAGATCTGGGTATTGACAATGTGCTTGATATTTCAATCTGGATGTGGATTTTATCTGCCTGGAAGTTACCCTCATAAATATGTTGTAGGGGACCCTTTATATGTCAAAGTGAATTCCTTAACTTCAATTGACACTGAAATGCCCTTTAGCTATTACAGTTTACCCTTCTGCAAACCCCAAGAGGGTGTTAAGGACAGTGCAGAGAATCTCGGTGAGCTTCTAATGGGAGATCGAATCGAGAACTCGCCGTATAAGTTTAAAATGTACACCAACGAGACCGACATCTTCTTATGTCAATCGAACAAGTTATCGCCCGACTATTTCAAGCTGTTGACGAAGAGAATTGATGAGATGTATCAGGTTAACTTGATTCTGGATAATTTGCCTGCAATAAGGTATACTAAGAAAGAGGCGTTTACTTTGAGGTGGACAGGGTATCCTGTTGGGGTTAAGGTTCAGAATGTGTATTATTTGTTTAATCATTTGAAGTTTAATGTGCTTATACATAAGTACGAGGAGACGAATATGGCTCGTGTGATGGGGACCGGGGATGCGGTTGAGGTTATGCCTACTGACCCCAAGGGTGGATCAGATGTGCCTGGTTATATGGTTGTCGGGTTCGAGGTGGTTCCGTGCAGTGTCATCCATGATGCTAATGTGGTTCAGAAGTTGAAAATGTATGAAAAATATCCATCTCCGATCAAATGTGACTCGACTGCGGTGTCGATGCCGCTCAAGGAAGGTGAGCCAGTTGTGTTCACCTATGAGGTTGCTTTTGAGGAGAGTGATATCAAGTGGCCATCTAGGTGGGATGCATATTTGAAGATGGAGGGATCCAAAGTCCATTGGTTTTCGATCTTGAACTCTCTTATGGTGATCACTTTCCTTGCTGGTATAGTCCTCGTGATCTTCTTAAGGACGGTGAGGCGGGATCTGACACGGTACGAGGAGCTAGACAAGGAGTCCCAAGTTCAGATGAATGAGGAGTTATCAGGGTGGAAGCTAGTTGTTGGGGATGTTTTCCGTTCTCCATCCAATCCTGCTCTTTTGTGTATTATGGTAGGTGATGGAATTCAGATCCTTGGTATGGCAATTGTGACGATATTGTTCGCTGCTCTCGGATTTATGTCTCCGGCGTCCCGTGGAACTCTTATTACAGGTATGCTATTTTTCTATCTAATACTCGGTATTGCAGCCGGCTATGTTGCGGTTTGTCTTTGGAGAACGATCGGCTGCGGTGATCACAAGGGATGGATTTCTGTCGCTTGGAAAGCTGCCTGTTTCTTCCCTGGTATTGCATTTTCAATTCTAACCGTTTTGAACTTCCTGCTGTGGGGAAGCCACAGCACAGGAGCCATTCCATTTGCTGTCTTCGTCATCCTGCTTCTCCTCTGGTTCTGTATCTCGGTTCCACTGATCTTAGTCGGTGGTTACTTCGGGGCCAAGGCACAACATATCGAATACCCCGTCCGAACCAACCAGATCCCTCGGGAAATCCCGGCACAAAAATATCCATCCTGGCTGTTGGTTCTTGGTGCCGGGACACTTCCCTTTGGTACACTTTTCATTGAGCTCTTCTTCATTATGTCTAGCATATGGATGGGAAGAGTGTACTATGTCTTCGGGTTCCTATTTATCGTTTTGATTCTACTCGTCGTGGTTTGCGCCGAGGTGTCATTGGTGTTAACGTACATGCATCTGTGCGTGGAGGACTGGAAATGGTGGTGGAAATCGTTTTTCGCTTCAGGTTCAGTTGCCATCTACATCTTCTTGTACTCCATAAACTATCTCATATTCGATCTCAAGAGTTTGAGTGGACCTGTGTCTGCCACTCTGTACATGGGGTATTCTCTCTTCATGGTTCTCGCCGTCATGCTAGCGACGGGCACTGTCGGATTCCTTTCGTCTTTCTGGTTCGTGCATTATTTGTTTTCGTCGGTAAAACTGGATTGATGACAATGAAAATTGGCACACTGAAGAGGTAAATGGTAATTGAAGAGCAAGCCTGTCAAAAAACATGTCTTGATTTTGAGCTTTTGTTACATTATCATTATGCATCTCAGTTTAATCCTCAACAGAAATAAATCGATTTTGATGCCTCCTTTGTGAGGCACATCTGTGAAAAACAAAGGCAATATTCTTGTCACCACCAATTTGATCTAGCCCTTCGTTATCGAACCAAGAACATTATTTGTTGCCCCTAATATGACCGGATTAAAGGTGTTACGTCAATTGATAGAAGAGGGAACAATGAAAAATAGAATTAAAATGAGTATTTATTCAAGGGACATTACATAAAATTATCAATTAAAAGGCTAAATTATAAAACATAACAAATATAAGGATTAGAAATCAATTCAACACATAAAAAGGGTTTTAAAAACACAATTTTACAAATACTGAACAATGGGTTTCAAAATCCAACGTCTGATTTTGATAAAAAAAAAACCCTAAGATGTTGATTTCGAAAGTAGGGTTATGGGTTTCAAAACCTAAGCACAAGAATATTAATTTTAACAATGTTATCTACACCAAAGTACACATAACACTTATGCAAGCAAATATTTTTTTTGGATAAGTATTATGCAAGCAAATATTAGTAAGTCAATATCTATCAAGATATTTCCTATTTTCAATTAAATTATGTTCCATTTTGTGTTTTCTCTTAATTTTATAATTTCAACCATTTAAGTAAGAAATAGAATATTTAAAGATTCAAAGTTTAATATTTTAATGAAATGTACATCAGTGAAGAGATTGTTAAATATTAATTTTAATTTTAATTAAAAATATAATTGGATTTTATAGTATTTCTCTTTATTGAAGATTGCTTGGTAATTAAACTTATTTAGTTAAAAATCCTTATTAAAGATTCTTGGCGATCAAATATTTAACTAAATATAGAATACATCTTAACCTTTAAAATTATGAGATGTCAATTTTTTTTTTTTGAAATGTATTTTGTATATCATTAACAAAAAATACATATAAAACAAAAACAATAAAGGACTCATTAAAAAAGCCTCCACATATAATGCTAACATTAACAACTTTTTCATTTTGTATTATTATTTTAAACTTTTTCTTTAACATTTTCAAAATAATGCTTTTTTTTTTTTTGACAAAGTAATCTTTAGAAAAAGTACCATGTAGACTACAACATTATCAATCAATTTATTTATTTATTTATTTTCAACCCAAACTTCACCAAAGCAAGTGCTTGTAAAGTAGAGCCAAACTGATAATGGAAAATAAACCAATGCACAGCCCACAGTTCACTTCAAAAATAAATAAAAAATGGGGAAGACAAACCAATAAATGACTATCCTTTTGATCCTCTAATGAAAATCTATGTGAACATATTATATGCTAATAATAATACTTACAGCATTTTCTGTTTCTCAATTCAGATCAGGCCCTTTGTTTTCATACATATATCTCTTATCAAGTGCGCCAATTTCTAATCACACAGTAAAAATCAATTTGATTCCAAAAGAGGTGATGCTGTATTATTTGAGCTAACCCGCTACTCTGATGGTATCACCATATCGAGGCTAAGAGGAAGGAATAAACGAGTAAACTAAGTCATCGACGAAAAAAAAAAGAAAAATAAGAATTCTTCTTAATAATACTTACGCATTTTCTGTTTCTCAATTCAGATCAGGCCCTTTGTTTTCATACATATATCTCTTATCAAGTGCGCCAATTTCTAATCACACAGTAAAAATCAATCTTCTGTACAGATCTCGCCTCCCAAAATTCCCTACATATCTTATCGGAAGAATCAAAACAACGGCTGAGCTGGGATTGAAAAGAAAATACAGACGCCAGAAATGCTGTGAGGTTGGCGCATAAGAACTGCAACGATATGTACCAGAAACAAAAAAACTACCAGCCACTCACAGCTTTTGTGTTGGCACTTCTACTCTTTAATCAATCAATGAGAACTCCAGGCCACCATTTCTGGGGAAAAGAATGTTCGATCCTTTTACGTATTTCATCAGCTCCAGAATTGAATGGTGCTGGCTAATTTCATTCAGTCAACACTCCAGTTTCATCAGGTCGTTTTACCCATCACCATTTAAGTCCTCCATAGATTCTTTAATTGCCTCTGCAGTCATGAGAGCAACAACAGCCTTGTGAATTGCCAGATCTGCTCTGAAAAGCAATCTCTGGGCTTTTTCTCTCTTGAACTTGGCCATTTTAAGTGCATGCTGGGCTGCACTAGACGCATCACGCAACGTGAACTCATCAATATCAGAATTATCCCAGTGTTCCAGGCCCTGTCTTTGAAAGCCATAAGGGAAGTAATGCCGCTGACTTGGCCAGTCAAGAAAACCCCTGTTCCATCGATGAATTCCATTTCTCTTGCCAATTAGCCTCTGATTGTATGAATCCACCATTTGTGCTTCGTTTGATGACAGAAAAGGGCCATACTTCTTTGACTTGCTTCTTTGAAGTTTCCGGAGGTGATTCTTATCAAACCTATCACTGCCCATTGGGAAATACCCCATGCTACCAGCATCTAGGGGTGAAAATAACCTTGGTGAAGCTTGAGACAGTGGGGAATCTTCTAAAGATTCATAATTATGCGAGGAATATAGAAACTTTTCATCCCCAAACAGGAACCCATTTGATCTTCTGCCTGAAATGACAACCAATGAATTCAGTTTGCAAAGGCAAACGCTAAAAAAAAAATAAGAATAAAATGGAAGTGTAAAGAAGATTTACCAAAGGAATGACAACCCTCGTGATCTCCCAAGGCATGTTGGCTTTGACCGGAAACTGAAATTCTCCTCTGGGATCGATGCTTTGACCCTTTATTTGGAAGTTCCAAACCCCGGGGTTTCATACAGAAAGCAAATATGGGAGGCTTCTCAATGGATTTAGGGTTACCTTTAGACATTGCTTGCTCCCACTCTCTCACTTGCTGTTGGTACCTTTCCCACAATGGCGGCTGAATGAAAACCAAAATATTTTATAATAAGTTGGACATCAAAAAATACTTGAGATAAAACAAACCACATGAACAACAAACCAACCACAGTAACATAGTGAAATTGTCAGGTAAAATCAGAGCCTTGAAAGATTAACTTGAGAATTCTTTGGGCTCTATAAGATAGAAAATATATGGAAACGAAATGAGTAAACGTTTCCCATGTTTCAATTTTGCATAAATTAAAATAGAGCGCTGGAGCCTGGGCCACCACTTGGTTTCCCTCAAGTTCCTCAGTTTCTAATTACCCTATATTATCTGACAATAATAATTAAAATACCAATAGGGAGTGTACATTGGTTTATACAAACTCCTACAAAATACAATCACTAGTCCCCATGCTGTGTTCAGGAAGATGAATGTAGAACACTCTATTTCAACATCAATTGTTATATAACTTTTGACCATTGATGCAAATATTATGTAAAAATCAGTTAAGACCCAATAGACCTTTATATTTCAGATGTATGAAAATAATCCAGAAACTTCATGATATTTTTGTCATGTCCTTTGAACAAGTACTAACTACTTATTGGTTTTAACACATTAAAATGCAACCATTACTTAAATAACTGAATAATATGAGACCTAGATTTTCTATTTTGTCCTTTCCCGGTTCTTGATAGCAAGTACATGTTCTTGAGAAGAAATTACATTAAACAAATTAATAAATGAACACTATTCAGTCTACTGAATACATCTGTGCAGAACCAGGCACTTCAGGTGGCCTTGCACCAAAAAAGATGTTGACAATTTCAACCTGCTAGTAAAACTAAAAGGCATTGACTGAAAAAACAAATGGATGAAAAAGAAGGTTTTTCAAAAAAATACCTGGAGATGACGAATTAAAGGCATTCCAACTCTCTGCCTCTTCTGTTGCCAATGCCCATAGATTGTTGTGATTACTTTCAGGGACCCAACTCCAGCCATGAGCTCTTGTATTTCTTCAGAAGTAAACTGAGTGCACTGTTCAGTATATGCAGCCTTCTCAAACATGTCCATAACCTTCTCAAACATGTCATCAGAAAATTCCAAAGAATTGCCAATATCACTTTCCGAAGATTTGCGAATTCTAGAAATCCACTGTTCGTCATCACTATCCATGTCGTATAAAACACGGGATGGATCCAAAGCCATCTCAACATCATTTTCAACCTGGTCCAAATACTTTGAAGAACAGTGAACAAATGTCATTTCCATCGCGTTTTCATCATATTCCTCTATTAAGCGAACGCCAGGAATAGGAATGTTCTTCACAGAAGCAGCACGAACATTACGGTTGTAGCACTCTTCATGCATCTCCTTGAAAAGAGCCCACTGACTCCTGTCCGTGAACTCCAAGATCCAATCTTTCCCCCCTTTCCACATCATAGCATGTGTAAAACGATTGGTAGATCCAGGCTGCAAGAACTGATGTGCCTTGTAAGAGTACCTTGTAGACCCTGATACTTTCACAGCCAGCTTCCATCCATTATGATCAAAATGTTCTAGCACAACCTGCACTCCAATCTCTCGCCTTCCTCTATCACCAATAGTAATTAGTACATTTGCATCACAAGATAATAACTCCAAGTTCCTTTGGGAGCCTCTAGAAACAGCAGATGATCTCTTCTCATTAGCCCTCCTAATTCGCTTGTGAGGAATGGCTCTCTGCTGCTGGCCTTTATTTTTTGAGCTGTAATCTAAACTTCCAACAGGCATATAATATGATACCTGAGTTCGTGGCTTCTTAGGTCCATTTCCAAAATTACTGTTGAAGAAATCAGCCATTCCATCAGACCAACCATGAGCATGATAACCAATCGATGAACTACTTCTATTCCGATGCCATGTACTTCTAGGACCAGTAGGATTAGGACTTGGGATAATACCACCGATCATACTCCAAGTCAAATCAGTAGACTGTTGAGTACTGGGTAATTCACTGTCACCATACTTTCCATATTGATCAAAGGGTGGAATCTCAACTGTAAT